TAACACAAGAGAAAAAGGAAACTTTATTACACCTTTCAAAAAAACAAAACTTTCCCAGTTCTCAATTTCATATCGGGGTCCTTATTTATACAACAAACTAGTAACTAAAAATAAATCAATCTGCAATCTAGATTCAATTTGCAATCAAAATTTCTTGAAAAAAAAGTTAAAAAATCTGATAATGAATCTAAACAGATACTCAGAATTCTTTTAAGACTATAAATTAAAATACATATATATCAACTACAAAGTGAACTGACTCGTTTATGTGTATTATCTAAATGAATCTTTTTTTTTTTCTTCTCAAATTTCTCAAACAATATATCAAAATGTGTTTATTACACACAAAAAAAACACTTGATTTTTTCTTATCAAGTTTAGTTATTATGCTGCTAGTTATGTCTAATATTTTATACTGAGCTTATTTTGAGTTTATTTTTTATTATGAGCTAAATTTAAAGAATATATAAACATAGTTGTACTTAATATATAATTATATTTATATATTTTATATATATTTATATTTATATATATATTTAACATAATCATAATAATATATCAAACACATTGTAAGGGCTTCGTGATAAGATCATTACGATCTTCTTGAAGTCCGGCCTGTACTATTTAATTATAAATTTCACTATATATATTTTGACTCACGAGACTTGTAAATATTAATTTACGAAACTTGTAAATGTTATATGTACGGCAAATATATGAATAAAAAAAAAAATTATATCAGCGAAAAACAGCAATTCTTCACCTTTTTTCTTATCGTTGCTTAAATACATACCTTTCAGAATATTGGTCACTACTGAGACCTAAACCTCAACAGTTAAAAGTTGCTTATTACCGACTTTCATAAGGGGTGGTTTTAGCGTATAAGATTTCGGAGCCATCATTATAGGGGATAAATGAACAAAAATAATGTCGATCTCAATTGATACCAAATGGTTTGACCTTTTTTCTTAATTAATAAAAAACAATAGATGATTTTTTAGATAGAAAGTAATTGTATAAAATGATTAATAGACCATTGTTTATCTACAAAATGCACTTTACACGAGTTACGGATCAGAATAAATAAATTTAAACAGTACCATTTGTTGCTTAAAAACTAAAGTAAAAAGGCAAAAGACGTTTTGTAATCAAAACTTGCTTGGATTCTACGAGTATCTCGCCTCTAACTACCTCTTTAACTACAAAGAACTCAGCGCACCCTTCTATCACTTCATCTATTTTTAAAAAGTATACTTTAAATATAAAAGAATGCAGTTTAGAACAGAAAAATTGATGCAGTTATCAAAAATTGAATGCAATTTCGGAACGAAAATTGCCAGAAAAGTTGTGACTGTTAAAACGAATTTTGTTTAACTTGGCGTTAACGTTGCTTGTTAGTTATCAAAATCTTATGGGGAACAAATTTGTCATTGCTGAAGTTTTGTTTGAAAAAGATTCCACATATCTTTTATTTTGAAATGCTGGTTTCAAGAATATTACTTTTAAATTGCTGGTTTCAAAAAAGTGTTGATATGTCCTTTCATTGTTATTATTTATAAAAGACTTCCATGAAGCAAAGGAAAAAATACCATGACATCAAAAATGACATTCTCAAAGTAAAAAAGACTAAATTTTTATGTCTTGCCAAACTAAACTTATTTCAGTACGTCTTGCTATTAAAAAAAATGTATAAAAAAGAATTTCTAAAATAAAGAAAACAAACTTTCAAATCACATTGGTGCAATCTTTTGATTTCACGTGTAAAATTTTCATCACTATCTCAACTATCCCTTTACAAAAATGCCTTCTTTTGTAATAAAAGTAATAAAAAAATTATTATATAAATAATAACAAGGAGTGTGTTGAAGCAAAGAAAACAATTTTCTATCTTTACAATCTGTTTACGTTATTTAGTAACATATACAAAGAGATTTAACAGAAATAAATGTTAACATTGAGAAAATATACGCTGGTGATCCTATTGAATATACTGATTTTAAAAAAGTTTAACGAAATTCAAATGCATGGCTAAACAAAATCACTGTTGATTTTCTAGTTGTTTACAGGAAAAAGTTTGAAAGCATAACTTAACACACTATTTTTCACTACCTGATATTAAATAATATAGATATAGAAATATTGCTGAAAAAAAGACAACTTTCATATGCTTAAATTATGTATCAAATAACATAATACTTTTCCTGTTTGTGTATTTTTGTAATGAAAAATTAAAAAACGCAGATTGAACCTTAAATTGTGTACAGTCTATATCTTTATCTATATCTTTAAATTGTGTACAGTCTATATGCATAACAGTTTGAGGATGTCCATTTTTGAAAAATATTTTGGGAAATCTTTTTTAATAAATAGGATAATCTCAATGAAGGTCAACTTTTTCAAAAAGTGTCACTAAAAATGCTATTCATGCAACAAAAAATATTACATGTGCTTTTGGAAACTAGTAAAACATAACCCATAACTACCATTCCATGAAGACAAATTAAAAAAAAAAAATTAGTTATTTTATCTAAATCTCAATTTTCAGTGCTTTTACAATTTTAATAAACAATAGTAAATATGGACTTGTAATATCAAATAGTACATTGTACATTCCAATAGATAAAAGGTATTTTAATTATTAAGGACTATTTTATTAATGGTTAGTGAATTAGGTTTTGGTAACTTTGTAATAATAATTGATTTTCAAATTTTTGAGAACTTTTACTTTTATATGTAGAACAATATTTTATTTTTCGATTGTATTTCTGCATTAGCTTTTTCAAATCTTTTATTTAATGGTTTATTGTTCTATAATAAAGAAAATAACATATATTAATAAATAAAATAAATAAATATCAAATAAAATAAATTAATAAATAAAATAATTTTTTAATCTATTATATTAGGATTTTAAAATTATTCTTTAAGTAGGAAACTTTGAGATGATATGAAATAATAGCATGAGTTTTTTTAACGATTTAGATTGTTAACAATATCTAGTGTTGTTTTATATTACTTTTATTTTTATCTATCGGAAGTTATTGGTTCTTTATTCTGTTAAAATCCAACTTACCACTTTTTGCATTAACTTTTATGAATACTATACTGTATTACTGAGACGGTGGGCTAACTTAAGTTAATGAGCTGAGCTGTTATCTCCATAAAAAATGAACCCGTTTGTCCGATAAGTGGAAATTAAGAAGATTGGACTAAAACAAAGTATTATTCTATATTACTTTAAATTCTATCTTCTTTTTTTTTGTATTAACGTTGTTATAACATAAATATAAAGAACAAAACAACTTTATAGTGTTAATATCTTTATAATACTAGTTATTTCAACAAAAAATATCCAATATTTGTCTAAAATTTATAATTAAATAAACTGAAATACAAATTAATAACTAACTTAAATCTAATTAATCATTTTCTTAAAATAACTATATATAATTTATAACTAATAACTAATGAGGTTGATCTAAAACAATTTTATGTTAAAAACGATATGGAATGAAAATGCTTTTGTCAAAAAATGATGAGTGTTTAAAGATTCCTGAGAAAACTATAACCTAAAATTCAGACTGCCTATCCCGAATGAAGGGGCAGTAAACATTTGAATTTTTTTAAACCAAGTTAAAATATATTTATAAACACCAAATTGTATAAAAATTTTTAAAGAGCTTTAAAAGTTATGGTTATTTTTTTTGAGAGGCAGAGGGGCAAAAACGTTTTTGGCCGTAACTTGTGAACTATAATAAATTTTTTTAAAAATTAAATTCTATTAATAAAATTTCATTTATTTTAAGATTTAGAAATTGCTATCTTCATTGTTATGAGTTGTCGCTATCTTATTTAGCTGACGATGCTTGTGGCTAAGTTTCTGTCGTAATTGTTACGAATTTTGCTAGCTAGTTGCTAATCGAATACCCGTCGGGTAGTCCTAGTTTTGTAAACTATGGGTTATAAGTTTTAATGATGCACATTAATTCTCTGCATTATTTGTAATTACATTAACAGGATCACTACAAGGTAGTTTCATGCTATTACAATATATCTTTAGCCATTTTCAGCAAACATATTTATTACTGTATTTTATATTTAAGGTGTTTTGGTTTAAACAAACTAGGTTTTGAGACTCTGGTATAAAACCATTTCAGACATAATTATTATTATTATCATTAGCAATTATTGTTAAGCCGGTGCTTGAGTTTTGGTTTTATTTTTTTAACGTTAACTATTACGGGTCTTTAATACTTTGAAAAAATGTTACTTTAGATTTGAAGTTATATATATATATATATATATATATATATATATATATATATATATATATATATATATATATATATATATAAATATATATATATATATAAATATATATATATATATATATATATATATATATATATAAAGATAATAAAAGACAATGTATTATACAATTTTATATGCATATAAACTATAATACTTGTATTATTTGAGTTAAGTAACTTTTAAATATTAAGATTTTTAAAAATACTCGAGCTTTACTAAATGATTGGATAAATAAAATAATATTACCTACCTGAAACTAATTTTTATTAGTTATAACCATAGATCATCCTGGTCAAATTTTAAAAATCCGGAAAACTGTTTATATGAAATATCCAGAAAAAATCCGGTATATATTTTCCCGTTTAATTTCGCTTTTAGCTGATTTGTTTTCATTTATTTTCTCAAACTTTTCTTAATTTTTGTTTAAGCGATGAGTGAAAAAGCTTGGAAAACAAATATATAACAAAAATATATACAAGAACTTGTATGTATGGAATACGTTTTGGATATCCGGAAAGACTAAAAATTAAAAAGATATCCGGAATTCCGTAAATATCCGGAAAAAGATAATCCCTGGTCATAACTTAAAATTTTGGACTAGTAAGCTTATGTAAGGTTTTTATCACAATTTCACTTTTTTTTTCGAAAAATATTTCACAAGTTTTCGAAAAAAATAAAATACACATCTCTTCAATATAAAAATATTTTACATTAGAAATTCTATTTGACATAAAAAATAGCTTATTTGACATAAAAAATAGTATAAATGCTGTTTATATAACTATTTAATATTTGAAATAAAAATCTAGCCTATATCATATCACATAAAGTATACTCCTGCAGCACGGGACAGGTGTTTGTTGTTTTAAATAATGCATATTTCTATAAAACAGGGCAGCTGTCTGGAGTTTCTTTATTCACAGTTTTATTACTATGACGATTTAATTTCATGTGACTATTGACTAGATGATCAGCGGCAAGAGCCGATAGTAAAGATAACTCGCCAGCAAGTACAGTTGCACAAATAATACGAGCCAATCGTTGAGCATTTTCTCCAGCTATTTGACCACTACCTTCAACGCCAAGCATCTATCAATAAAAACTAGTTAACAAAAATTTTGTTTTTAATAAAAAAAAACTTTGAAACTTGTTTCGTATTTGTTCACAACTTTTTACCTTAAGACAAGCTTTTTGCCCCGGAAGCCCAGTTCCACCGCCTACTGTTCCAGTTTCTAACGATGGCATACTACAACTAAATTATATAATTTTTTAAAATAATATCGAGAAAAACTATGAAATAACTAAAACATCGAGAAAAACGGTGAAATAACTCAAATATCGAGAACAACTATGACTATTCCGATTTTATCCAAATTTTATGAAAATAAATTTTACCTTATGTATAGGTCTTCTCCTTTTTCACCAGTCGTTTCAAGCAACGTAATACAATTTGAACTAACTACATTCTGTGCAGGATCCTGTAAATAAAATGTTATAAATATAAAAAATTTTACGTAACAATTTCAGTTCCAATAACAATATCTTGAACTGAGTAATAAATAGATACAAAATTTGATTAAACATTAACTGGAATATTTTTCATTTATTTAAAAGATAAATAATAATAAAACTGTGTTAAATCGTTTTTTCTTGATACAAAACTGTTGCTCGTTAGCAACATCTTTTTGCCAAAAAAGTTTCAAATTTACCAAGAAAAAACACTTTATCTTAGAAAGGCACGTTACAACGCAAGTTGCAACAATATCTTTCAATTACAGGTTGTAATCGCAATTACTATTATAAATAATAGAAATATTGATTAATAAATGTTATTTTCACAATTATACGATTTATTTTACGATTACAAAATTTTATCGTTTTCTCTTTATAAGTTGCTGATTTGTTAACTGTAACAACAGAAAGGTTCTATCGAGCATTAGATAGATGTAGTGAGACAAAGCTCCATACTCTTGACATATTTTTATACATGCTAGTTTTTTTCTATAAGCTCTCTTAACATGGTGGATAAAGTTTTGAAAATTACTGGCAATTTCTAATTTTTGTAATCTTAACCTATCTAATCGCTAATATAACCGGTAAAAAAAATATTCAAGTTAGTATTAAAGCTGAATACTCTTCTTTTAATAATCTTCATTTCCTTTATTGCCTCTGGGTACCAAAAAGATCCTACCTTGTTATTTCTCTGCTATGTTAATAACCCGACTGACAACCATACCATTAAAGTTTTCTTTTAATTAATGTCAATAGAGCTGTATATCATAATTGTGATAAAAAGCCACTTTCATTTGATGGCTTATAACAGCCAGTTGATTTTGAATATGATTATAGCACTTTTAGTGAGACCTTTACTTTATATCTATTTAAATTATATTTCAGTACTGACCTTGCATGAAAACAAAAAATCCCATCCATTTAAAAAATAGCATCTGTAAAGTTGCTCTTCGTCACGTTTACCATTTTCTTACTCCTGATTTCATTCTCTGTCTCCATAAATCTCTTATACATCTTTGTATGAGCTGATATAAGAAATAATGCCCTTTATTTTTTAACAATGGTTTAAAAATACATTGTTAAGTTTAACATCGCAGTTGAACTTGCTTTAGTATCCAAACATGAACTTCGTCACAAAGCTGCATCTTTTTTCAAATCTTCTGACAGCTATTTTAATAATAATAATTATTGCTGTTGAGATTTAACGCCATTTTAACAATAATTTTATAATTAACAATATAAACAATAAATAATAGTTATTTATGTTGTTTCTAGAAGTTTAGTTTTGACCTGTTGAGTGCATAAACTGTGTTTATGCACTCAACAGGTCAAAAGTCAAATTCGAAAAAAACTGTATTGGCAGCTGGTCCAGATAAAGATTTACAAAATTTAGTCGGATTGTGCCATGAGATATCTTCAATATGATGGAAATATTTATAGAATTGAATTAGATCACCACGTTTTCTTCTTTTGGTTAATGTTGTTAAATTCAGTTTGATTAACCTTTCTTCATATGAAAGGTGTTTAATTTCAGGTATCATCTTAGTTGCACGTCTTAGTACATTTACAAGTATATCAATGTCATTCTTTAAGAACGGATTCCATTCCCTGAACAGCAAATTCTTTTTGTGGTCTCACATACGCACAATATAGCTTCTTGAAATAGTCACAAGTTTTATAATTAAACGCTTTGGCAATAATACCTAATTTACTATTTGGAAAATCAATTGACGTATTATTATATAATAATTGTCAATTGATTTTCCATTGTCCATGCTGCTAGTTAAAATGTCTAAGTACTCTAAAAGATTAATTGTATAGCTTCTGCCTTTCTAAAGCCATGTTGCTGAATAATCAAAAGTTTATTAGAATTTAAATGATTAATAATTTTGTCAGCTATAATTTGTTCTATAATTTTGCAGGGGATTAAAGTTAAAGATATTGGATAATAGTTACAAGGTTTAAGTTTACTTGCTTTTTTGAAAAGAGGAATTATATTAGCTTTTTTCCATTTTTCTGGAATAAAACCACTTAAAATTGATTTCTTATAAATAAGACATAAAGGCAAACTCATACTGTTTGCAACGTGCTTCAATACATATGGATGAACACAGTCAGGACCCATAGATTTTCTAATATCTGTTTTTAGCATATAATTTCGTACTAGTTCTTCAGAGATATATATATCTTCTAACATAGTTTGACACCTATTTTTAAATTCTGGTAGTGTCTCCAAATATTCAGATATATAAATGGAATTAAAACAGTCATTTAAGGTACAAGCAATTTGTGTTTTATCAATGACAACGATACCATCGTTACTTTCAACTGCTTTAATGTGGCTTTTAATTGTTGATTTGCCATTTATATATGAATACAATACTTTTGGATCACCTTTAGCTTTACCAGGAATCAATTTTTCATAATTTTTAATTGCACATTTGATCTGTATTTTGACAAACTTTTTCATTTTGTTATATTGGCTATTTAACTGGTGATCATACAAGTTTAACTTCTTGATTCGTATATACAAATTATATATACATATATACATATACGTATATACATTGTTTTTTCTTTTTATTGCTTGCTTCAACTCATAGTTTAGCCAAGGATTTTTTTGATTTTTAGTTCCATACGCTTTTGGTATGTATGACTTACATGCTGAATAATAATGATCCAGAAAGATTTTATAACAGTCACTGATAGGTTTTTCTAAAAATAATTTATTCCAATCAATATTTAGCATGTATTGATTAATTTTTAAATAGTTTCCTTTCATGTAATTTAACCGATTATTGTTTTTATTTGGATTAGTTATGTTTGATAAATAAAAATTAAAAGATAAAAGATGATGAGGATGTTCTTTAACTCCAAGAGGTGGTAAATGAATTATCTAAAACTCTGGTGTCGTCATCAGCAATTACTAGATCTAAAATATTCGTCATTTCAATTGTCAATTTTTGAAATGTGGGTTCTAGTACTTTTTGTTTAAAGAGGCAGTCTAAACAAGTTAAAAACTTATTAGATTGGTTTTCATTGTGACCAGAAGAGTGCGCATTTTCATTACTCCAAATAATCTTGTCAATGTTGAAGTTACCTGAAATAAGTAATCCAGAAAATAATCCTTTGTCTAATGCATTTTTGGCACTTTATATTGAAGCTACAGTTGTGTTATTGGTTTCTTCAGACAATTTAGGTCTATAAATATACCCTAATAATATTTTTTCTTTGCTAATTTGCAAAGATACCCATAATTTTTCTATATTTGTAGAGTTGAGTTGGCCAATATTAACCTCAGAAGAATCTATTGAGTTTTTAATATATAAATACAAACTCCACCACCTCTTTTTTTTTTTCTTGATCACACCTATACAAATAGTAGTTTATTATATTTACATCTAATATTTGTTTAAACCAAGTCTCAGAAACAAAAAACACATCAGGTTTGTAAATCGCAATTAGCGCTCTAACTTCATCAATTTTGTTGCTTAGTGACGTTGCGTTTGTTGACCACACTGTAAGGCTAGGATTGTTAATGTGTTTTTTTATACTGTAATCTTTTAAACAATTAATTGCTGTATCCTTTTTTGATGTCTAAAATTAGAAAAATAATGATTGACAAACCATTATTTTTCTTTCTAATTTTAATAGTGTTTGATTTAAAATTACTATACACGTTTAATTGATATTCTAACAATTTTGATGTCATGAATTTATAATCACTGATGCCTTCTTTATTTAGTTGATGGATTTCTTTGAACAAAAAGTTTTTTTACAAGATCATGTTGCGTTGTTGTTAAGTCAAGATTAATAAATACATTTTTAAACTGTTCATCTGTTCTTAGGCTGATCGTATTACTTCAATTCGATCATCTGAAGTTTTTAATTCCGCTAGCACTGGTGCTGTCTTATCATTTTGGACCTAAACCTGTGAATTTTACCAATTTTTAATTTTTTAATTCCAACTTTGTTAAATATTGCATCAACATTTTCTTGGTCTTCTGCTATTTTATCTGAAATACTTTCTTTTTTAGACAATTATAAACCAAAAATTATCAAATTTTTTTTTTTAGTTTTCATTTCACATAATTCTACATTAAGTGATTCATGAACATTTAAATCAGGCATATTTGACTTTGGTCTGAAGCAAACTACTCCATGAATTTACTATAGTATATGCTGAATTTTCATGCGGTGGTTTAGCGGTGGTCTCAAGTTCTGATTTTCTTTTAATGCTGTGTTTTCAAGTTCTAATAATTTCACTTTTTCTTCTAATTCTTTTAATTTGATCATCTTTAAATATTTCAAATTTATATTTTATTGTAACTGTCATGATTTCAATAGTTGTTCAACAAACAAAATCAGCAAATATGCCAATCTAAGGAGGGCTACCACCCTATAGCAGTGGATTACCTCCGTGTAGTGAAATATTCCAATTTATTTATTAGTCTTTAGTTTTTTAAACAAATATTTCTTATCTCTTGCGATGTTCATTCCTAAATTCTATCACTATCTTGAGTTGCTATAAATATATTGATATTTTGTTGCTCTAAAATCCTTGCGCTGTATTGATTAGTATTGATTTGATTAGTATAAAAGTCTTCTCTGAGAGCAAAAAAAAAAAAAAAAAAAAAAAAAAAAAAAAAAAAAAAAAAAAAAAAAATTAAAGTTTTATAATAAACTACATCATAATGTAATTTCAACTTACTTGACCTGTTGCAATGAATATAGCTGTAACTACATTAGCGGCATGTGCATTTTGTCCGCCTATAGTTCCAACCAAAGCAGAACCAACAAGATTTTTACTTGTGTTTACATCAATTAATGCAGGAACACTAGTTTTCAAAACCTATGTAATCAAAAAATATTTTTAATATGTCAATAAAATTGTAATTCAGTAAAAACTCATTTTATAAGATAAAAATAACAATATCAAACATTAGGACTTTCTATGAAATGTGAGAATGTAAGAACAAAATCAGACTTGATCAAATAAATTCAAAATATTTATATCTATTAAATAAGTTCTAAGCTATTTGAAACTTAAAAAAAGTCAATTAACAATTGATTGTATTCAAAGTCACTGGAAGATTTTTGTTTAAAAAAAAAGTATTAAAAGTAAATAAAGAGTTTGCCTAATTTTTTTATATTATTTTATCCTACTGAAGTTTTGCATTTTAAATGTGTAATAAAGTTTGGGTTCCAATCAACAAAAATTGATCAATAATTATTTTTTTTAAACATTTTCACTTCCGAAAAGGCTGCAAGCAACCACTAATTAGAGTTGTAAGTTACTGGAAGAGAGAAGATGAATATTTTAGAGCAAGATAACGATTGACAGACAACTTTAAAGATTGCAAATTATATGAATCAAGAAAGCAATATAAAGGAAGCGAATTTCAAAGAACTGATGTTCGAGGAACAAAACTATGGGAATAAGAGTTTTTTGAAGCACTTAGGAACAGTCACAGAAAAATGAATGAGACTTAATTGAATGATGAGTAACACGAGAATGAATTTTAGTAGACGGCACAAGAGACCCTAGCTCTTTAAAGCAGTGCCCATTATAGTATTTGTAGAAAAGAAAAAGAGAAGCAACATCACGAAGATGTGATAATGGTTGAAGGTTGACTGCAAGAGCAGGTCCAACTATGTTTACAATGCGTTTTTGTACCTTGTCTAAAAGAGAAAGAGCATAATTAGAAGATCCGCCAAAGTTATGGCAACAGTATTCCATACAAGGCTGGTATTGAGGTTTATAGAGATAGAAAATAGAATCCAGAGTAAGTGTTGAGCTTAGAAGATGCTGATTTTGTAATGGATTTGATATATGGTTTCCAAGAAAGATCGAAAGTAAGACTCATTAAGTACATTACTGTTCATAAATATAGAAAGATCTAAATTATTGCAATAATGAGTGGCTGAAAAAAATTGAGTTTTATCTGAAAAAAAAGTTCACTAGCCACTATGAACCCCATGCTGTCACAGAAGTGAGATCTTTTTCAAACTTAAATGCCCCCTCCAAGCAATCAGAGAGTGTTGGCTTCTTATCATGACAAGAATAAATGGTAGTATCATCAGCAATCAATGCCACCTGATGTGAGAATATCTGGAAGATTGTAAATGTAAATTAAAAAGAGTATAGGGCCAAGGATTGAACCTTGAGGAGCCCTTGAAGTTACAGGATATGAAGAAGAGTGCTGTCCATCAAGAACAACTTTTATACTACAATTGGAAAAGAAGGATTCAATAATCTTAAAGACGTTACCAGAGTAAGAAAAAACTTTTGGAGAAGATCAGCATGCCAAACTTTATCAAAAACTTAAAAAATGTCAAGAGCGATGGCCTTCACCTCTCCACCTTTATCTAATACATGATAAAACCTATCAGTTATTACTGTTAGCATATCAGCTGTAGAACAAGAATATCGAAATCCATATTGATGACCATAAAGTAAGCTATAAGATTCAAGATAAGAGATTAGGTGTTTGTTAATTAAAGACTCAAAAACCATGCTTACGATAGGAAGAAGACTAGTGGGATGGTAGTTAGACAAGCCAAATCACTATTCAAAATTTTTTTAAACATGGATAACAGATGCTATTCCAGCAGGCTGGAAAACAAGACTCTGATAAGCACTTGTTGAATAGTTTTGAAAGTATAGATGACAGCTCCGGAGGACACTTCTGCAAGACTATAACAGGTATGTTGTCCGTGCCAAAAGCTGTAGAAGAGTCTAAGCAGGAAATCACTTTAGATACAGAAGCTTGAGTGATACAAATGTCAAGCAATCGATCAACCTGTTTGACGGCTAAATCACAACTAGTGGAATCAAGAGATGACATTGATGAAAAGTTTTTAGCAAACAATTTAGCTTTAAGTGAGGTGACAAAATCTGAACCAAACAAGAGAGATGGAGTTACAAATTGGTTTGTAACTCCACCCTTATTATCGATACTAATAAAGATTCTCCAGAAGTCATGAAAGCCTAATTTTTGTGATGAAATACGATCTGAGAATAGCAGGCTTTGGCGTTAGACAAAACCTTTTTACAATAGTTCCTGGTGATAGTTAACAAATCCTTTTTTTCTGGAGAATTATTTTGCTGATAGATATGAAAATAATGGTTACGATTGAAAATTGCAGCAGAACAATGTGAGGAAAACCATGGAGCAGAGTGAGGCTTGACTTGGATTTGTCGAGAGGGAATAAAAGATTCCATGCCAGCCTGAATCCAAGAAGTTATGAAAGAAACACATTTGTTAGCAGGATGACAAAAGATTTCTACCCAAGTGCCATCACAAAGAAAATCATGGAAAAAGTCTCAGTCAGCTTTAAAGTAGTTATAAGAGGTAAAATGATAGGGGGATTCAGACGATGAAGAAGAATGAGATAATAGTTTTAGAGAGATCAAACTGTGATCAGAAACACCTAAGGGTGAATTTGGAGAAACTGAGCACTAACTAGGATCAGAAATAAGACATAAGTCGAGTAGAGAAGGTAAATGATTTAAGTTGTCTGGAAGGCGAGTCGGAAAGTTGACTATGTTAGGGATTGAGAAAGGCAAAAAAAGAGAGAAGGACAGAAATATAGAACAAAGAGAAAGCCAACGAAGTGAAATGGTGCTAAACAAAAGCACATAAAAGAATAGTTTGTGGATTCAAACCTAGTTTCCTGACATATGGGGGAATTCTTACAAATGTAAATGCCCAGGCCAAGTATGTGACTATTGGAGTCTTTACGAATTAAAGGAAGATAACCATCAACACTAAGATCACAAGAGAAGCTGAACTCAAATTAGTCTCACAAAATGCATGTTGGTCTGGTGACCTTTGCAAGAGATAAGACTCATTAGAAGAAAGGTTACTTCGAAGACCACAAATATTAGTGAATGATAGATTTAGAGAACTTGATGATGATGATGATTTTTTGTGTTTTATAGTTTTTGGTACTTCATTCATTTTTAAATTTGTTAAAGAACTTGACTCGAAGAATAGATAGTACTCAGTACGCTGTTTAATAGCCTAAGCAATTGCCTCATTACTATTAATAAACTGTAAGCCGTAACAAAGGGCTTCAAATGTGGTCTCGACAATGTACACCAAAAGTACGAACAGACACACCATTCATAGGCAACATGGTACTGTTAGCACTCTAGCATTTTACAGCTGTTGATGGAATCAGCTTCTCTGAGAGCTACAACAGAGTTCGAGAAACCTGACTACCAGCCGGCCTTAGAACCATAAAACTGAGTTTTAGAGCTGTACCCTCATTAGGAGATAATATAATGAGTTGCCTAGTCATAAAAAAAAAGACACAAACAAAACCCATGGATTGAGTCAAGAAGATCCAGCATTCAAAATCCTAAATTGGAAACAATATATTAAAAATACAACTGTGCCAGCCTAATAGATGAAGAAGGGGTGCAAGGCTGGTTAACAGATAGAATTTATTTATTCCTTAAGTCTTTGCCTAGGAGGTCTTCCACAAGACAGCAGCCGGATGCATTTTACATCTACCCAAGATGAGTATTTTTATCAAAACACCATCTCTAGCCTTTATTCAACCAAGAGCTCCACGGCAGGGAGTGTTTTAAGTTGGAGTTGGCATCTCCTAGCCTTTGCTTAAAAAGGCATATCCTACAAGGCAGCAGGACATGAAGCAGTTTGTACTGAGTTACATGTTACCAGTAGCAGGATAACCTGACCTGACAACAATTTGCAAAAAGGTTAAGTAATATAATAATTATGATCTCATAAATGTTATAAATATTAGTTAATTGTAATTTTGAAAATTTATTGAAATTAAAGATTATTTAAATTTAACAATGTCACTTCATCTTAAACAAAAAACAATTAACAAATTTTGGATAAGATTGAGCTTGTTTCAAATGAGATTAATATATAAAGAAATCATAAAAGTTAATTATACAGTTATCGCTTATATATATAGTTATACACTTTTATACAGGTATTACATAACACAGTTATTACTTACTTTTTTTACAATATCTTGAGATATAACAGCTTCACAGACAACACTTTTTCCACGTCCATCAATCCTGTTGACAATTAAAAAATGTAGCTTTTGTTTAAAAAATACTAAAAAAAATTAAAAAAAAAAAAGTGAATTTCAAAATGGACATCATAAAAACAAATTTTTGTGCAATATAAAATGAGAGCAGGTAAGAACGTTTGAACCTGAAAATTTTAAAAGTAAAGATATGAATCGAGACAACAAAAAAAACATATCACCATTGTAATGGGAACTTTAATGAAGCTGTTAAAATGTGATATTATTGTTTGTTTATATTAAAATCTGAACATGCAAGTATAAAAATATATCTAAAAATTTCTTAAATATAATTTTTAATATAGCATAGAGAAAACCTTTATTTATAAAAATTTATATATATATATATATATATATATATATATATATATATATATATATATATATATATATATATAAAATATATATATATATATATATATATATATATATATATATATATATATATATATATATATATATATATATAAATATATACATACACACACACACATATATAATAAAATCGGTGACAAGCCATACCAATTTATAGCAGCAGCTTTTTTGTCTGTGCAATAATTTCCAGAGACACTTACAACTTCAATTTCAGGAAACTCCATTTGGAGTAACTTAAGTGCATACTCTGCACCCTAGACAAACCATAAAAACTATAATATTACCATGAAAAAGTAAAAACAATAAAAAAGTCTTATAAAAAAAAAGTTACCTTGGAGACCATATTCATACCCATGGCATCCCCTGTAAATGCTTTAAATCTAACAAATAATAGGCGACCAGCCACAGCACACTTAACAGAATTAAGATTAGCATACCTGAAATAAGATATATAATATAAAAAGTATAAAACAAAACCTATAGATTTTAAAGGGATTGCAAACTCCTAACACATGTTGTGTTCAAATTTGATGTTAAAAAAAAAGGTTTGAACCAAGTTTTTTGATTAAAAATAAATAATTATGCATACCAAGAAAAACTAATCTTATTGTTTTAGCCTAAGCTTTTTTGTTTTTTTTGTTTTAGCCTTTTTTTGTTTTTGTCTTTTTGTTTTAGCCTTCTCCATCTTACTCAAAAACTTGGAGTCTATAAATTATACCTCGCAATCTTCAGAATTTGGCAATTCCTTTGAAGCGCGTCTAATTCATAAAAGTTTTAGTATTTGATGCCACGGTAGACTTTTGACAAATAAAACTCTGGAAAAATTTTTATTTATTTTTATTCATAAATTTTTTCATTATTTATTTAGTTATTAATTTTCTACTTTTAACATTTAAAAAGATATTAAAAACCTTAAATATTTTATGCTGGTTCGTTGCTATAAATTGTTATTGGGCTATATTTAATGTTAATAAATGATGAATATTTATTATCTCAATCAAGATTATAATAAAAAATTGTTTTATATAAATTACCCGTATAAAATTAGTAATAGCATTTTTATATAGTTAGACAATATTTCCTCTGAATTTGCTTTGCATGAAGTTCGGGAAATCAAATGGAAAAACTTAGTTTGAATAATCATGTCGAAATATATTTAAAACAAAATGATTTTAATGACGGGAATACTAAAGCCTTTTTATAACAAATGTAGGTAAAAAATAACTAAATAAAAAGCTCAACATTAAACTAATTTTTTTAAAAAAAAAAAAAAAAAAAAAGATGTTTAATGTTGTGTAATTAAACTTTGAATGAATAAGATAAAATGTATAAAATATAAAATTGTATAAAATATTTTTTTTTTGTGTCACTCGTTGTTTTTTTAGATGAGAGAAATAAAAGTTTAATTGAAACTTTTCGTTGAATAAATGAGAATTGGAAGAGAAAATTGCTTGAAGACTTGTATTTGTCAATTTTGTTAGTTTTTTAATTTTCCATGTTAAGAGACAAATGCCAAATATGACACATAAATTGGGAAATATAATATGTTTTTTAACGCGCATTATGACATTTTGACAATTTAAATTACCATCTATCTCGAATTATTGCCATTAATTAATATGTTAATTATTGCGTTAATTAATAATAACTTGTCTGTATTTTTGTTAAATGTTAATTGTATAAAACGGGCAAAATATTTGTACTTCATGTTTTTAATTTGATGGTTAAAATATTGAAAAGTAAAGTTATAATCAAAATTTATAATGCCAACTTGAGCAGTTATTGGTTGTATTTGTAATGCAAAACCAGAATCTCACATATCCTTTTACAAATTTTCATATCTAATACTACTGTCAACTGTATTGTCTAATGTAATCTTTTAATTTTTTTTCATAACCTTAACAGGTTTTAATTGGTATGGAGTTGCCGACATTTTAAAAGTTTCGCTATCAAAAATCAAATGCAAAATATAATGATATTTTCTTTTAATCCATATCCAATTTTAGCAATTTAATTGAATCAGTAAGATTCAGAATATATAATACTGCGCTCTCTTGCACAAAAAAATGAGTGACCGTATATATAACGTTCTATATAATCTAAAATACTCGTATGAAAATCATAAGATTGGTAAGTAAAGCTTTAATAATACTTTTAATTTAAAAACAAATGAAATAAGTAAAATAATAAAAAATAAGTTGCTCCTATAAAAAAAAAAAAAATTATTTTTATTTTTTTAAATTTTGGAAAATAATACAAATAAATTTGTTTTGCTGTATGTTAAAAAAATACTACAATGTTCTTATTGAATTAAAGTAGAAAAACGCAGCTTTGTTTAATTACATTTTTCATTTGTCAAAAGTCTACCGTGACGTTAAATACTAAAACTTTTATGAATTAAATGCACTTCAAAGGAATCGTCAAAGTCTGTAGATTGTGACATATATTTTAAAGACTTCAAGTTTTTGAGTAAAATGGAGAAGGCGATCTTTGGCTAAAACAACAAGATAAGTTTTTCTCGGTTTGCATTCATTATTTATTTTTAATCAAAACAACTTGGTTCAAACCTTTTTTTTCAACATTATCTTTAATATGAACACAACATGTGTTGGGAGTTTGTGATCCCTTTCTAGGGATACATTAAACTATAGGGGTGGTATTCAATTAACAATTATTTGATTTAAAAAAAAATTAATCGTCAATTGATTAATTTACAAAAAAATAATAGATTTTTTGTTTTAAAAATATAAATAACCAAGATATTTTTTGAAAATGAAAGAGAATTGCTTATACTTTTCTCCAGTATCTTTGAGAAATGTAAAAAAAATTATACATTTAAATGCAACAATACACTGCCATTAATGATTTTGTCTGGAAAAATTGTTTTGAAGTTTGGATGCTATTTTTATTAGAAAATAAAGACAAACCAATATTCAAGTGCAAACATTCATCATTTCTTGTTCTTCTTAATGACGAGGAGAACAAAAATGAAGAAGTTGATTATGATCTTGAATATAAAAGTGGCAACAAAGAATGCTGGATTGAAGGAAGTATCAGCTCTGTTGATGAGCAAATCTAGTTCAATGAAGACTTTAAATCTATTATATCCAAGGTTAATGAAACGGTCAAGCTGTTTAGGAAATCACTAACTAAAAATAAATAAAATAATGATACTTAATGTTGTAGAGTATGGTGTAATGATACTTGATGTTGTAGAGTTTAGTGTAATGACATTTGATGTTGTAGAGTTTAGTGTAATGACATTTGATGTTGTAGAGTTTAGTATAATGACATTTGATGTTGTAGAATTTAGTGTAATAACACTTGATGTTGTAGAGTTTAGTGTAATGACACTTGATGTTGTAGAATTTAGTGTAATGACATTTGATGTTGTAGAGTTTTGTGTAATGACACTTGATGTTGTAGAGTTTAGTGTAATGACATTTGATGTTGTAGAGTTTAGTGTAATGACATTTGATGTTGTAGAGTTTAGTGTAATGACACTTGATGTTATAGAATTTAGCGTAATGACATTTGATGTTGTAGAGTTTAGTGTAATGACACTCGATGTTGTAGAATTTAGTGTAATGACACTTGATGTTGTAGAGTTTAGTGTAATGACACTTGGAAGAAGAGATCCGATAAAATGTGATCTGATAAAATACTACAAAATACTAACATAGGCCAAAAATTATTTACCATTGTCTCTGATAGAATTAGTGAAAAGAAGAAAATATTGCTAGTTTACGATGCTATTTACATAACATAAATGACTGTAAATCAGATACAGAATGGTCAGATATTTTTTGAAAATACCATAATAAAAAATGAAATAAGACAAAAGCTAAAACAAGCTAAAACATGAGATTATTTTATGCTTATTTCTACATGAGAATAACGTAATAAAAACTTAACCAGAAGAAGAAACAGAATCTGAGTCTGGGTTTAAATTCTCTAGAAATGTGAAATCAATAGAAAATAATTTGAAAAATTTGCAGAAATTATAAAGCTGAAGAATTAGCAGAAATTATACTGCAAACAACTTCAGGAGCAGGAATAACTAAAGGATTAACTTGTAAGTCAAAATTTTAAGAAATTTTGAACTGAATTAAATGTAAAATGGCAGTACTTGAAATGAATAGGAAAAAGCTCTTTAGAAAAGATTTACAATGCAATGCTTACCCCATCTTCTATAGAAGCAGAAAATAGTTTCAGTACAGCTGGTTTATTTGTTACTAAGTAAAAAGAATTAAATGTTTATTACTATGTTTAAATATTGACAATGTAAATAACTTTTGTTTTTTAAGATCATATTTGATGAAAAAAGAAAAGAAATAAAATCATAAGTAGAAATTTAATTGTTATTCGATTTATTTAAAATAAAGATTAAATTAAAATATTAATTTAAAAAAATTATTTAAAAATTAATAATATTTTTAAAAATTAATTGTTAATTGAATCATTTAAAATACCAATCTAGCATCCATAGATTGGTATTTTATTAACTCTAAAAAATTTGCAAGTCCTGTATTTGAAACTAAAAAAATCATTTTAAGTTCTATAAAGAGTTATTAAAAGGTAAAGTTTTTAATAACACAGAAAAAGTTGTTAATAATATAAAAATTGAATAATAACCATTCATGAAACATTTTATTTGAAATATAAAATAATATCAGAAAAAACTTTAAACTTAAATAAACACTCATACAAAAAAAGCCAAATAAACACAACATGAAAATAAAAATTTAACCTGCTACTTTGTTTAAATGACTCTTTAAGAATTTCAAAGTTGCTCTCTGTTTCAAGCCATTTCTTAACATCACTACAAAAAACATTTATGATTATTTTGTAGTTTTTTAGTTAATATCGTGTAATAACTAATACAAAAACTACACTACCATTAGAAAACAAACCTTGAAATCTACTGCCCAAAAAGCATTATTAAACATTATATTTACCTAATATTATTAATGACTTGAAAAAACCAAACCTTATATTTCTAATAAATATTAAAAAATTTAAAATTTTAATTCTTAAAATATTAGAGACTACTTTGTAGACAATAAATGTATTCCATTTTAACCAAAAAATTTTTTCTTGGAAAATCAAAATGATTACTTTAACTGGGCCCCTTCTATTCCTTATCTTCATCAACAGTACACCTGGTCAACTCAGCAACTGAAAAAAGTTTGTTGACTAAATTAAAATTGTTTTAATCATCAAAAACCATTATTAACAGAGTAGTAGACTAATCATCAAAAACCCTTTTGACCTTAAACACAAATCATTATTAATAGAGTAGTAGACCAAGCTAACAAACAGTTTATGAACGTAAAAAAATGCTTTTCATGCTTTTGAAAATTGGCGATGAAGCATACTTAATGTACCCTTCATTAAAAAGTTAATCCTGTTTTTTTTTACCATTTTTAACCATGGTTGACAAAACAGCAGCATGCATATTTTTGACACATACTTTTATGTTATATTGGTTATATGTAAAAAATATATATGAATTAGCTGAATAAATTATCAGATATTTACAAATATTTCTTGCTGCAAAATTTAAAAAATATTAGAAAAACAACAACAAAAAATAACATTTTACATAAATAATTAATTATCTACTAATCAGATACCCAATTAAATAACATAAATAGAGGTTAAAACACAAACAAAAAATGATGCAGAACTACACAAAAAAATGTTTTATAAAATTTATGATAAAAATTAAATGCTTTATTTCAAGAAAAAAAGTTACCATGCTAATTTAGCTGAAGGCAATCTAAGAACAGGACCTCGTGTCATTCCATCACCAAGTAAGTAGCTTGAAACTCCACCAGATGCCTGTTCGTAATTTAATTTTTTCATCATTTATTATATTATTAAATAGAACAAAAAATCAAACAACAATATATAATATTTTTTTCACTTGAATAACTTTTATAATCTATAAATCAATAATTAAAATGTTTAGAAAAAAAAAGATCCAAGAAAGTTATTTCTTTTTATCTAAAAAATACTTTTTTTAGATAAAAAGGAGAAATGAATACATTTAGAAAAACAATAAGTGCAACAAAAAATTTGAATTTAGAAGACACTTGATTTGTACTAATGACATCTGGTTGGTATGTATGACAACCTGGTTTAAACTTGAAATAAATCATATACTTTTTTTAAACACGTTTTTAGTAAATTTTTTAAAACTAGACAAATAAGAATTTTTGGAGCACTTAGGAACAGTCATAGAAAAAGAATGAGACTTAATTGAATGACAAGAAGAGACTCAATTGAAAACACGAGAATGAATTTTAGTAGATAGCACAAAAGATGCTAGCTCTTTATATGGCAACAGTACTCCATGCAAGGGCAGATTTGAGATTTTCAGAAATAAAGAATATCCAGAATAAAAGAGTGTTGAGCACGATAAAGGGATGCAACTTTAGCAGACGGTAATTTTGCAATGGATATGATATATAGTTTCCAAGAAAAATCGAAAGTAAGAGTTAATCCTAGAAAATGAAGGGTAGATGACTCATCGAGTACATTACTGTTCATAAATATAGGAAGACCTAAATCATTGTGATAGAAATTATTGCCTAAAAAAAATTGAGTTTTATCTCAATTAAAATTCACTAACCACTGTGAGCCCTATGCTGTAGCAGAAGTGAGATCCTTTTCAAGCTCAAATGCCCCCTCCAAGCAATCAGAGAGTGTTGGCTCCTTATCATGACAAGAACAAATGGTAGTATCATCTAGCGAACAATTCCACCTTAGATGTGAAAATATCTGGAAGATCATTAATGTAAATTAAAAAGAGTATAGGGCCAAGGATTGAACCTTGAGGAACCCCTGAGGTTACAGGATATGAAGAAGAGTGCTATCCATCAAGGGCAACTTTTATACTACAATTGGAGAGAAAGGATTCAATAATCTTAAAGATGTTGCCAGATTCACCGTAAGAAGAAAGCTTATGGAGAAAACCAGCATGTCAAACTTTATCAAAAGCTTTAAAAATGTTAAGAGCGATAACATTAACCTCTCCACTTCTACCTACTGCACAATAAAACCTATTGGTTATTACTGTTAGCAAATCAGCTATAGAACAAGAAGATTGAAATCCATATTAATAATCAGAAAGTAAGTTGTTAGATTCAAGATAAGAGATTAAGTGCTTGTTAATTAAGACTTTTTAATTAAAATTAAAAACCTTGCGTATGATAGGAAGAAGACTAATAGGATGGTAGTTAGGCGAATCAGATCGCTCTCCAGATTTTTTAAAAACAGGGATAATAGATGCTGCTTTCCAGCAGGCTAGAAAACAAGACTCTGATAAGCACTTGTTGAATAGTTTTGAAAATATAGGCGACAGCTCTGGAGAAAACATTTGCAAGACTATAACAGGTATGTTGTCCGGGCCACAAGCTGTAGAAGAGTCTAAGTAGGAAATCACTTTAGATACAGAAGCTGGAGAGATACAAAGGTTGAGCAATGGATCAACCTGTTTAATGGCTATATCAGGTAGAACGCAACTAGTGGAACCAAGAGATCATATTGGTGAAAAGTTCTTGCAAACAATTCAGCTTTGTCTTTAGGTGAGGTGACAAAGTCTGAACCAAGAGAGGTTGAATAATAGATTTTCCCTTATTATTGATACTGTTATAGATTCTCAAGTCATGAGAGCCTAATTTTTGCAATGAAACATGAGATTTTATGACCTGAGAATAGCGGGCTTTGGCGCTAGACAAAACCTTTTCACAATGGTTTCTAGCAATATTAAACAGATGCTAGTTTTCTGAAGAATTGTTTTGCTGATAGATGTGGAAATAACAGTTTCGATTGGAAATGGTAGCAGCACAACGCGAGGAAAACCATGGATAAGAGTGAGGCTTGACTTGGAACCATCGATAGGGAATAAAAGATTCCATGCCAGCCTGAATCCACGAAGTTATGTGAGAAGCGCATTTGTCAGCAGGAAGACAAAAGATTTCTACCCAAGGGTCATCATGGAAAATCACGGAAAGAATCCCAGTCAGCTTTAAGGTAGTTGTAAGAAGTACAATAATTCTGATGATAAAGGGATTCTGATGATAAAAGAGAATGAGATAATAGTTTTAGAGAGATCAAACCGTGATCAGAAGCACATAAGGGTGAATGTGGAAAAACAGAGCACTGACTCGGATCAAAAACAAGACATAACTCGAGTAGAGAAGGTAAATGATTGGAGTTGTCCAGAAAATGAGTTAGAAAGTTGACTATTTGAGTTGGAGATTAGAAAGGGAAAAATTCTGGGCCTTAACGCAAAGGGCTTTAAATTAGAGGTGTACCAGATATGATTTTTTACCTATCCGGCCAGATACGGACATGCCGGATATAAATGTATATATCCGGCCGGATATGCGGGATATACCGGATATGTTAAATTTTGTAAAAGAATAAGAGGGAACAAGGTTTTTAGCGATGCCCTTCTCCCCTAGTGATTTAAATATTACTTATGTTTGAGTTTATCCAGTTTCTCCGAACTTAAGCGAATGGTTTAAAATGGCATCTCTTTGTTAGAATTCTAAGAATTTTTTAAATAGAAGGATTTACTATGGGTGTAACAGGTCCGTAGGAACAAAAATTATATTAAGGGGGGGGGGCACTACTACCCCCAAATAGTTTTAAAGACCTTTTATTTTTTTTAAAGTCATTTTTTCAGATAATTTCTTCAAAATTATTCATTTGAAAAATTATTGGTGGGTGGGGGGTAGGGAGGCAAATGCCTCTGCTGCCCACCTGGTTTCTACGGGCCTGTGTAACTAAAGTAGCGTATGCTACTTTAGTTAAACTAAATATAAAATTATCTATTTAAAAAAATTATTTTTAAGATTTTAATAAGTTTTAAGTTGCAAATATTACATCCATAAATAACGTTACGCAAAAGGGAGAAAAAGGAGGTCAAGATAACAAGGGGAAAAAGAAACAAGAGGGGGTATCACACATGGACGGAGGGGTCATAAATAAACTTTATGGATGGCCGCTTATGCTATTTATATGTTATAAATAATTATTATTGAGATTTAAACATTTAGCAACTACTAAAACTACATAAAATAAGCTTTACTATAGATATATACGACTAAGTTTGAAAATAACTAACTTAAAAAATGTTAACTTTAATATAAAAGTTAACATTTTATCTAAGTAAATGCAGCAGTAAATGTGTGTGTGTATATATATATATATATATATATATATATATATATATATATATATATATCAGACCTTGCGATGAATAAGAACTGCGCGACGCATAAGCACGACGTGATTTTTGACGTCATTAAATTCTTTTTATTTGCTTTTCATATTTATCGACATTAACTGCACCAATTTACTTAATTACCGCAAAACTACTTTAAATCGTTTATGTAGAAATGTTATTATTTAAAAATGTTTTGAAATATTTCGTTTTTTAAAATGTAAAAACATTTGTTTATTTTCTCGACGTTTGTCACGTTTTGTCTATACTAAACGAATAAAAAACATAACTTAAATTTAAAAAAGATTATAAAATATGCTAATATTTGATTTTTTTTTTCTTAAATATGTAATTTAAAGTTTTTCAAATAATTATTTTTTCTTTTTAAAAAGTCAGCGAGTAATAAACTGGAAATTTTAATATTGTACGATTAAAGACTGTGCAATAGCTAATATTTTTACAAGCGATTTTATATAATATTTATTTATTTATTTTTATTTATTTTCAAAAAGCGGTTGATAAGCACAATCACTCGTATTAATAAAAAACTTAAACGAACGTTTTGAATAATTTTTAATGTTAACAAGGAATTTTATTTCTAGTAAAATAAAATAAAATGTTAGAATAAAAATCTTATAAGATTTTTATTCTAACATTTATAATATATAGGTATAAAAGAAATATTTCAGCGAAAAAATTATTCGAAAAACTATTGACGTTCTATTTTTCAGCAGCTGTTCTTGAGCACGCTTCGTTGAGTTTCGGTAACTTTTAACAAAAAAGCGATCGTTATTCTTTAAGTAATTTTTATCGAGTTTTTATCGATTCATCGATATCGATAGTATCGATTTTTACAAAACTTTTAATAGCTGTACTTTCTTCAATCAAGTAGAATATGTTTTAATATTAATCCTTTAATTTTTTTTATTGGCGCTTACCAATTTTTAAAATATTTCCTCGAAATTACTCTTAAATACTTTAAATACGTCTAACACTTAATAAATATTTTAAATCTATGGAATAATTTTAAAACCTAACAAACCCCCGTAAAATAATTATTTAAGTTAAAAATCTAAAACTAAAAGAAAGTATTTTTGTTCATTTTTATCGACAACTTTGCTATTGCTGAATAATTTTATTAAAATGTTAGCTTAAAAAGATTTAAACTTTTTTTTCAATCTGAATTTTTTCTACTTGTAAATAATAAGCATATTTAATTTTTCTGTAATTCAAACTTTTATATCAACAGCGTTTTTAAAATACTTTATTAAATGTTAAAATAATCGTAAATTACTTCATTAAAATTCCGCTCAAAAATATCTTTAAATATACTCAAACAAAAAATTTTTTGCTCGACGCAAATAGCCCAAGCTACACGCAAAATCGCTCTTGGACGACGTAAAATTCACATCGCCCGACGCTTTATCGCAAGGCCTGATATATATATATATATATATATATATATATATATATATATATATATATATATATATATATATATATATATATATATATATATATATATACATATATATATATATATGTATAAATAAATATATATATATATATATATATATATATATATATATATATATATATTATAATA